ACATACTGAGACACCATCTCTACAAAAAAAAAATTTAAGTTAGCCAGGCGTGGTGACACACAACTGTGACCCCAGCTACTTTGGAGGCGGAGGTGGGAAGATCCCTTAACCTGGGAGATTGAGGCTTCAGTGAGCCAAGACTGTACCACTCTATTCTCCAGCCTGTGTGACAGGGCAAGACACTGTCTTGTTAAAAAAATTTTTTTAAGGGTCGGGCGATGTGGCTCATGCCTGTAATCCTAGCACTTTGGGAGGCTGAGGCAGGCGGATCACAAGGTCAGGAGTTTGAGACCAGCCGAGCCAAAGTGGTGAAACCCCGTCGCTACTAAAAATAAAAAAACTAGCCAGGTGTGGTGGCAGGTGCCGGTAATCCCAGCTACTCCGGAGGCTGAAGCAGGAGAGTGGCTTGAATCTGGGAGACAGAGGTTGCAATAAGCTGAGATCACACCACTGCACTCCAGCCTGGGCAAAAGAGCAAAAGTTGAAAAAAGGTCCTGGCACGGTGCCTCATGCCTGTAATCCCAGCACTTTGGGAGGCAGAGATGGGAGGATCGCCTGAAGTCAGGAGCTGGAGACCAGCCTGGCCAACATGGTGAAACCCTGTCTCTACTAAAAATACAAAAATTAGCCTGGTGTGGTGGCGGGCACCTAATCTCAGCTACTAGGGAGGCTGAGGCAGAAGAATCATGTGAACCCAGGAGGCAGAGGTTGCAGGGAGCTGAGACCGTGCCACTGCCCTCCAGCCTGGGCAACGGCGCAAGCCTCCCATATCAAAAAAAGAAAAAAGAATAAAGGTTCTGTGGGCAAGAGGGTGGGAATGAGGGCAAGTGGGATGAGAAGCAATAATCGGAGGAAGTCTGAGTTTGAGTCCTTGCAGGGGGAACTGTGCACTTTTTAATGGGAGGGGCTTACAGCTTTCATAGGATTCTCCAAGGGACCCATGCCCCAACCCCTAACTAAGAGCTTGCTGACACCCTTGTCCACTGCTGCGACCTCTGCCATCCTGGCGAGTCTCACATGCCCTCTCTGCTGTTAAGCCTTCCTCTGGAAGCCTTCAGCAATGCCTCAGCCCTCTGGTTTTCCTCTCTCTCCAGCCTTTAAATGTCTGATTCCATAGGGCTGTGTCTTCCGTTCTCACTCTGCCTATTCTTTTTTTTTTTTTTTTTTTATGGAGTCTCACTCTGTTGCCCAGGCTGGAGTGCAGTGGCGCAATATCGGCTCACTGCAAACACCTCCGCCTCCTGGTTCAAGAGATTCTTCTGCCTGGGCCTCCTGAGTAGCTGGGATTACAGGTGCCTGCCACCAAGCCTGGCTAGTTTTTGTACTTTTAGTAGAGATGGGGGTTTCACCATATTGGTCAGGCTGGTGTCAAACTCCTGACCTCAAGTGATCCGCCTGCCCCAGCCTCACAAAGTGCTGGGATTACAGGCGTGAGCCAACACGCCTGGCCACACTCTGCCTTTTCTAGATCATCTCATCTCCTCCCAGTTTTGAATACTCTGCATTGCATGATTTCCAATATTTTTTCTTATCCCTTGGAAATTCTGTAATTGTTGAAGGAGCTCTTCATCCTTAAACAGGCTTTTTAAAAAAATCATGTGAGCCGGGCGCGGTGGCTGAAGCCTGTAATCCCAGCACTTTGGGAGGCTGAGGCGGGTGGATCACGAGGTCAAGAGATCGAGACCATCCTGGTCAACATGGTGAAACCCCGTCTCTACTAAAAATACAAAAAACATTAGCTGGGCATGGTGGCGCGTGCCTGTAATCCCAGCTACTCAGGAGGCTGAGGCAGGAGAATTGCCTGAACCCGGGAGGCGGAGGCTGCGGTGAGCCGAGATCGCGCCATTGCACTCCAGCCTGGGTAACAAGAGTGAAACTCTGTCTCAAAAAAAAAAAAAAAAAAAAAAAAAATCATGTGTTGCTCTTATGAATATAAACAACATTCATTGGTTTTCCTAAAACTTCTCCACATTAACATTGCTAATTACTTTCCATTTGGAGTCACTGCACTTTGGGAGGCCTAGGCCAGTGGATCACCTGAGGTCAGGAGTTTGAGATCAGTCTGGCCAACGTAGTGAAACCCCGTCTCTACTAAAAATACAAAAAAATTAGCCAGGCATGATGGCACACACCTGTAGTCCCAGCTACTTGGGAGGCTGAGGCAGGAGAATCGCTTGAGCCCAGGAGGTTGCAGTGAGCTGAGATCATGCCACTGCACTCCAGCCTGGGAGACAGAGCAAGACTCCGTCTCAAAAAAAAAAAAAAAAAAAAAAAAAAATTTTATATCTGCATACTTTCTGACCAGCTCACCTATTTACTAGAAATCTATGTACAATGCCTTAGTTTCCTCATTTCTAAATTGGGGATAACAGTGCCTACCACAGTGAGTTGCTGTGAAGATTAAATGAAGACACACTGCACCCACCCACACCCACAGGCACCAGAGCGCCTGGTACTTAAGTGGTCACTCTAACCTTTGTTTGGTACATTGCGAAGATTTACCCGATGTCTTCCCAAACCACTAATTTATTCTCCAAGACACTAATTTATTCACACCAATTAACATATGGCTCAGGAGAATGAAACTGGATTAGTGTTTCCCAAAGTGTGACTCCAGGGTGCCTTGTTAAAATGCAGGTTTCCAGGCAGGGTCTGGGGAAGGGGCTGCAGGTGCCCTGTCCACGAAGGTGGCAGAGAAGCCCCTAAAACAGTCCAAGAAGCAGGCCAAAGAGATGGACAAGGAAGATAAAGCTTTGGTCCTGGCCACAGGCAAAATTAAGAAATCTGGCAGCCAGGTGCAATGGCTCATGTCTGTAAATCCCAGCACTTTGGGAGGCCGAGGTGGGCAGATTACAAGGTCAGGAGTTCGAGACCAGCCTGGCCAATATGGTGAAACCCTGTCTCTACTAAAAATACAAAAATTAGCCAGGTGTGGTGGCGGGCACCTGTAGTCCCAGCTACTCGGGAGGCTGAGGGAGGGGAATTGCTGGAACCTGGGAGGTGGAGGCTGCAGTGAGCCGAGATCATATCATTGCAGTCCAGCCTGGGTGACAAAGTGAGCCTCTGTCTCAAAAGAAAAAAAAAAAAAAAGAAAAGAAATCTGACAAGGAGAGGCACAGTGGCTCAGGCCTCTAATCCGAGGACTTGGGGAGGCTGAGGCAGGTGGATTGCTTGAGCCCCGGAGTTCGAGACCAGCCTAGGCAACATGGTGAAACCCTGTCTTTTTATATATACATATGTATATACACACACACACAATATATATACAGTATATGTAATATATAAATATGTATAGGCCAGGCGCAGTAGCTCACGCCTGTAATCCTAGCACTTTGGGAGGCTGAGACGGGTGGATCACTTGAGGTCAGGAGTTCAAAACCAGCCGGGCCAACATGGTGAAATCCTGTCTCTACTAAAAATAAAAAAAAATTAGTGAGGCATAGTGGTGTCTGCCTGTAATCCCAGCTACTTGGGAGGCTGAGGCAGAAGAATTGCTTCAACCTAGGAGGTGGAGGTTGCAGTGAGCCGAAATTGCACACTGCACTCCAGCCTGGTTGACAGAGTGAGATTCCACATCTAACAAATAAAAATGAGCCGGGCGCGGTGGCTCAAGCCTGTAATCCCAACACTTTGGGAGGCTGAGGCGGGTGGATCACGAGGTCAAGAGATCGAGACCATCCTGGTCAACAAGGCGAAACCCCGTCTCTACTAAAACTACAAAAAATTAGCTGGGCATGGTGTCGCTTGCCTGTAATCCCAGCTACTCAGGAGGCTGAGGCAGGACAATTGCCTGAATTCAGGAGGCGGAGGTTGGGGTGAGCCGAACTCGCGCCATTGCACTCCAGCCTGGGTAACATGAGCCAAACTCCGTCTCAAAAAATAAATAAATAAAAAAAAATAAAAAATAAAAATGAATTATCTGTATTTATATATAAATTAGCTGGGCGTGGTGGTGGCACTCACCTGTGGTCCCAGCTACTTGGGAGGCTGACATGGGATGATTGCTTGAAACTGGGAGGCAGAGGCAGAGGTTGCAGTGAGCAGAGGTCAAGCCACTGCACTCCAGGAAAGAAAAAAAAAAAAAAAAGCTAAATAATCTGTCAAAAGCGAGCTGTTCCACTGTGCCTGCGGTGATGGTGGCCCTGACTCCATTCGTGTTTAAACATCAGGATTCCTGGCCACATCTTTGAACCAGGGAGGTGGAGGTTGCAGTGAGCTGAGATCATATCACTGCACTCCAGCCTGGGTGACAAAGAGAGACTTTGTCTAAAAAAAAAAAAAAAAAATTCCTATACTAGAATAAAGTGTTGTCTTGTAGCCTGTTGTACATTTAAGAATAAACTTGAAAAGAAAATACGAGGGCGGGCGCAGTGGCTCACGAGGTCAGGAGTTCCATACCAGCCTGGCCAACATGGCAAAACCCTGTCTCTACTAAAATACAAAAATTAGCCGCGCGTGGTGGCCGGCACCTGTAATCCCAGCTACTGGGATGGCTGAGGCCAGAGAATCGCTTGAACACGGACGGCGGAGGTTGCAGTGAGCCGAGACTGCGCCATTGCCCTCCAGCCTGGGCGACAGAGCGATTCCCGTCTCAGAAAGAAAAAAAAAAAAAAAGGAAAAGAAAATACAGTGGCTCATCATCTCTTCAAGTTGTTTCGCTCAGCAAGTAAAACCAGCCCAGAGTCTTGCCAGAGTCAGCCCCTTGATCTTTGTTCTACCCTAAACTCTTATCATCTGGAATTGAATCAACTCATTTGAAAAAAAGAAAAAAGCAAGCAGTTTCTGGGCTCACCCTAAACCCGCGGAACAGAATGACTGCGGTGGCGCCCCGGAACCTCTCACAGGCCTCCTAGCTGCTGCTAATGCCCACTGAAGCCCGGACGCCCAGGTAAGGCCAAGGCTGCCGGACCGGCTGCGGGCTCTGGAAGACCTGGAGCTAGAGGGCGCCGCTCTCTCCCGGCTCGCGCCTCGGCTCCCGGAAGAGCGGCTCTGTCCGCCGTTCGGCTGCGCTCGCCTCCTCCTTTCCGCTTCCGGTGTACCCTACAGCCATGGCTGCTGCCGTCGCTGCTGCCGGTGCAGGAGAACCTCAGTCCCCGGACGAATTGCTCCCGAAAGGCGACGCAGAGAAGACTGAGGAGGAGCTGGAGGAGGACGACGACGACGAGGTACTAGGGGCTCGCGGGGTGCGGGGCGGGAAGCGGTCCTGCTCGTTGGTGTGGGATCCGCGTGGTACGGGATCCCAGCGAAGCTGCTTTTCTGGGAGGCGGGGTTAGGGGCCCCGCTGGGCCCGGGGGTGCCTTAGCTCCAGTGGGCTCGACGGCTCCCAGCGCCGCAGCGGGGCCGGGAATGGATGCCGCTTTTTCTTGTAAGACCCGTGCCTCCTCCACCACAGCTAGATGAGACCCTGTCGGAGAGACTATGGGGCCTGACAGAGATGTTTCCGGAGAGGGTACGGTCCGCGGCGGGAGCCACTTTTGATCTCTCCCTCTTTGTGGCTCAAAAAATGTACAGGTAAGGAATGAGACAAAGGCATTGGGTACGTGCATGGGGTGACCGCGGTGCTGTGAAAGAACACGGGGTTTGGAAGCAGGAGACCTGGGCTGAGTGACCTTGGACTTGTTGTACCCTAACCTTTCTGAATCTCAGTTTCCTCTTCTGTAAAATGGGGATTCTTAACTGGCAGGGGCGTTGTGGGGGTTATTTCAGATTGTTGGAGATAATTAATAAGGAGCTTTGTAAGAACGAAGGAGATTGTTAAAACCGCCATCACTAAATGATACAGCTACCACAGCTGCCCCTTCCGTCTCTGGTAGGAGTATGGTTCAAGGAGTGGGTGGAATACGTTTACCAAAAACATTGGCATATGTAATGTGAGAGGTTTGGTTATTGGGTAGTTTTCCCCTGTTTTGTTTGCGTGTCTTCATGCTCTTCGAAGCATGAATCTCTTTGAAAACCCTCTGGGGGTTTTCCTCTGCAGGTTTTCCAGGGCAGCCTTGTGGATTGGGACCACTTCCTTTATGATCCTCGTTCTTCCCGTTGTCTTTGAAACTGAGAAGTTGCAAATGGAGCAACAGCAGCAACTGCAGCAGCGGCAGGTGAGCCCAGAGCCTGGGCATTTTGCCATTGGTGGAGACGCAAGTTATTTCTCTAATTGTCTTCCATGAAACCAGTCGCTGGTTTCACGGACGACAGTTTTTCCATGGATGGTGGGGGTAGGGGAGATGTTTTCCGGATGATTCAAGTGCATCACATTTATTGTGCACTGAATTTCTATTATTATTACGTTTTAATATATAATGAGTAACCCCATAATGTAGACTCAGCGGGAGCCCTAAGCTTGTTTTACTGCAACTAGACAGTCTTGTCTGGGGGTGATGGGAGCCAGTGACAGATCATCAGGCATTAGATTCTCAAAAGGAGCATGCCACCCAGATCCCTCTTATACACTGTTCACAAAGGTTTGTGCTCCTGTGCGAATCTAATCCTGCTGATCTGACAGGAGGCAGAGCTCAGGTGGTCATGTGAGCAATGGGGAACAGCTGTAAACACAGATGAAGCTTCCCTCACTTGCCTGCTGCTCACCTCCTGCTGTTCATCTCCTGCTGTGTGGCCCAGCTCCTAACAGGCCATGGACCAGTGCCAGTCCATGGCCCAGGGATTGGGGACTCCTGTTCTCGAACCTGGGTTGACCAACAGTTAATGTGTGGTGGGGACTGGGATCATGTCCATGCTGTTTTAGGTGCCTGACGGTGAGAATAACATCTCAAGGCCTGTATGATGCCTTATACCGCTCCTTTTCTTTTCCAGATACTTCTAGGGCCTAACACAGGGCTCTCAGGAGGAATGCCAGGGGCTCTACCTTCACTTCCTGGAAAGATCTAAATTGTTACTGCTCTTTGAGCTGTCTTGGTGGGAGAAATTTGAAATTCAGTAGTGTTTGAACTGCTGATTATTTGAATTTTTTTTTTTAACTTTGGCACATTGATCTATCTAAACCTGGGGGAGAGAATTCTCCCCACATTGTCTCATGGAAAGACTCAACTTGCAACTGTGCCCTCCATGCTTTCCTGACTTGCTTCTGTCTTCACTCTGATATCAGAGTGCAGCCACGCAGATGGTTATTCCAGCTCTGGCCACCCCACTCCTTTCACCAAATTGCTCCTAACTGGAAGATCTCACTTTCCCCTTGTGGGGTAGGAACCGATGCCAGTGGGAGGGATGTGCCCCTGACTATTAATGACTGCTTTTTTTTTTTTTTTTTTTAAGAATAGAGCTATTGGGGAGGGACATGCACACAATGCGAAACAGACAAAATGCATTACACCTGTAGTGTAAAGTGGCCACTATGAATTCCTATGTATAAGAGGAGGGAGGCTGCAGCTTCAGCCACAGAATGGGGACTATGGAAGACAGGGCAGGGGCTAATTTTCTCTGCGTATTTTGGCTGTTAGACCTGGGTGTGTGGGTTTAAAACACCAGAAGTTAGTGCTCACTTTTTGTATTTAAATATTAAAAATGATTCCAACTGAAAGTGTCATCCATGTGCTTGTGAAAAGTACCTTGAAATGAGACCAGAGAGTCAGAGACACATACTGTCCCTCACATTTCCTCTCACCTAAACCAGCAGGACCTCCATCTTAGTGCTCACCCCATAGGCCCAGATTGTTTCCAAAAGTGAAAAAAATCATTTTTAGCCAAGTATTTCATAGCAATCTTTATCCTGAATTTAGGCAGTCACTTTGAGATCCATCAGCCTAAAATAAAAGATTGGGTCCATGTACTTCTTCAGTCTATAATGACACTGTAATTATAAAGCATTTGTAGAGAATAACATTTATTTCTGCAGAATTGGGACAGATTTTTTTTTTTTTTGCCTGAGACCAGGTCTCACTGGAACAAAGTGGTGTCATCTGGGTTCACTACAACCTCTATCTCCCAGGCTCAGGTGATCCTCTCAACTCAGCTTCCTGGGTAGCTAGGACTACAGGAACACGCCACCACGCCCAGCTAGTTTCTTGTATTTTTGGTAGAGTCAGGGTTTCACCATGTTTCCCAGGCTGGTCTTGAACTCCTGAGCTCTAGCCATCCACCCACCTCTGGCATCTCAAAAGTGTTGGGATTACAGGTGTCAGCCACCATGCTCAGCCAGAGCAAGCCTTTTATGTGAGTTATCAGATCAGTCAACACTAGACAATTTAGGAGATGGTATCCCCATTTTACAGAAGAGACAACCACAGAAAGGTAATTGCTCAGGCTGCAAAGTTAAGTGCTAGACCTGGATTCCAATCCAGGCAGTGCAACTACAGAATGCTGCTGCTGTGCACTTAGGATGGTGAAGCTGGGTCCAGGCCCTGTGCAGATGTATGGTCTTTCACTTTTTTTTTTTTTTTTTTTTTTTTTTTTTTTTTCTTTGAGACAGAGTTTCGCTCTTGTTACCCAGGCTGGAGTGCAATGGCGCGATCTCGGCTCACTGCAACCTCCGCCTCCCGGGTTCAGGCAATTCTCCTGCCTCAGCCTCCTGAGTAGCTGGGATTACAGGCACGCGCCACCATGCCCAGCTAATTTTTTGTATTTTTAGTAGAGACGGGGTTTCACCGTGTTGACCAGGATGGTCTCGATCTCTTGACCTCGTGATCTACCCGCCTCGGCCTCCCAAAGTGCTGGGATTACAGGCTTGAGCCACCGCGCCCGGCCTGGTCTTTCACGTTTTAACTAAGGAAAAACACGAGTCCCCAGTGTGGTACAAACTTGTAGATACCTGGATTCTTCACATTGTCAGGCTTAATTTTAATAAAATAAGACTGAAAAATGTCTTGGGGACATCTTTTGAACCAAATCCCATTTCAGCAACGATCCTGTCTGGATTTCTCAGGTTATAAAGATTTAATCAAAGCAGGTATGTCTCTAAAAGATGACTTATGCTGGCAATGAATTCCTTTTAAAACAGGATCATACTAAAGTTTATTTTTCTTCCTTTGCACAATTAGAGAATTCAGGCAGACAAGACATACGTTTTCCATTTTTAATATTTGGTTAAACAAAATACATCTTTTGTAAACAAACCCAGCACAAGGCCAACAAAAAGGAATAAAAGCAAGAAAAAAAAAGCCTAGGGTTGCCCCTTCTTGGGCATCAGGGTCAGGCCTGCTCACTTCCTTGAAGAAAGTGGGGCTTTTTGCCCTTGGGCATCAGCATGGGTCCCTGTTCCTAAGCACCAGAATTGGATATGAACAGAGAAACCAGCCCTGAAATGTTTAAGCGTCTTTGCATATCCCATTGGCTCATGGACTCCAAGTGCATGGGGACTCTGAAGTGCCATTTGCACAGGCCCAAGCGGATTTGTGGAGAGGAGTTTCCTCCTCTTCCCAAGAAATGGCTTACTATCTCTGACAGTGCCAGTGGCCCCAAGGTCCTGCTTGTGACAATCAGCAAGATTGGCTGTAACGTCTGGCTGGTGGTGGTTGGAATGTCATTGTGCAGGGCGGGAAGAGCTCCCTGTGGTGCCAAGCAGGTCTGCTGTAGAAAATGGTGCAGAAGAGATCGGCCAGTTGCTGAGAAGACACAATGAAGTAGCCGCTTGGTGGCCTGTTACTCAGCATTAAAAAAAAAACGGCCTTGTTGGATTGAAGATACATGTGCAGAAAAAGTGCTGGTGTAAACATGCACTCCAGTCACAGGGGGAGAACGCCTCAGGTTCACCCCGTTAAGCTTGCTCAGGATCAACATGCAAGCCCCAGGCTGGCTTTGCTGCTGGAGAGAAGTCTGGCCAGTGGGGCAGCTCTTAGTACCTGCCAAGACCATCGATCTGAGGGCCAGTGGGTCACCCCTGCCTGCCCACCTGCCTCGAGGCAACCACATCCACTTTGGAGACACGTGTGTGGTATGATACTTATTTCTCTTGTTTTCCAAAGTTACAAGAGAAAAGTGGCCTACAACTATTTCAAGAGGTAGGGGCAGGTTGAACTTCCACTGATTAATATAAAGAAAATGACAGGAAGATGGCAAACCCAGGTCCTGTTCCATCCACAATGCACAGAACCACCCAACTTGGCACTATAGTGACAGCCTCCGAGCCTAAAACGTCTACTGAATTCTGGCTGCTCCTACTCTGAGAAGCCTGTCTTCATAAAACTTTCCTCACCCAACTCTGCCCCAAATTAGTGGAATTTGATGTCAAAGGCAGACTTTTTTTTTCTGATTTTGCCAGCGTGACTAAACTGGGAAAACTGCTTTTTGGCTTCTCTTGTCCCAGAGCCTCCTAAATCAATGTCGTGAAGTGGTAGGGACACTAAGAAAGCGAGCCACCGCATGGCTGTCCCAGTTTGGCTTTAGCCACATCCTGTTAGGTATCTATCTTACTCAGCTCACGCTAGAATATTAGTGTGGAATATTAGAGAACTTTTCATTATAAAACTCAATGTATGGCCATAAACCACCCTTACACCTCGGGAGAAGGGTTGGAGAAGCATGCTGGACCGCCGCCAGAGTTTTGGGACATGGTTTCCTGAGAGATCTTTATGCTCTGGCGTCTTCAAACCAGTCCCATGGGGTTTGTGTGCGTTACCTTCAGACCCAGACAGGATGGAAAGTGGAGGCAGCATCTCTAGGTGAGTCTCAAGCAGCAGTGACAACTCAGCAGAACACGTGTGTCAAGTCCTCACAGAAAATGGAAAATCAGCTAGGATTCCCTCCCCACTCCACTTTCTCCTCTGTCTCTTAAGCAAAACAAGGGTTTGTAACTGCTGGCCTTGAGTGCACAGAGCTCCTCCTACCTTCCTTGCCCAGGAACAAAACACTGGGTAGTTCTTACAACAGTCCACATGTCTGTCCTATTGCACTGTCAGATCTGAAGGGGAAAACCCGATGAGACGTTTAGGGAAGCAGCAGGGGCAGACCCACTGCAGAGGCCACAGCACATCACAGACACTGAAGGGGCTGAGCTGAGAGGGAGGCTGGGCAGAACTGTGTTACACATCAGTCCTCCAACTCTGATGGGCCTCTACCTCTTCTGGTACCACCAGGAGGAGTTCACAGTTCTTTCCTCGTAAATGATGTTTTAGAAACTTCCTATGGAAAAAGGAATAGAGAAAATAAAATGCTAGTGAGTTGCAAATTCCAGTCTCAGGACCACAAAGTCACCAGAAACCTCACTATACCCTTGGCGGTCCTAAAAACATTCCTGTAGTCATCTGGTTTTGGAGATTTGGTTACCCCTCCAATCTGTCTGCTTAAAATCCCAACCTAAATTTTTGCTCATCTTTGTAGTTACTGCCAACAGTGGCTGGTTCTGTGACTAACAGTACCCAAAGTACTATAAAGGACTTTTTCTTTTTTTGGAGACAGAGTTTCACTCTTATCTCCCGGACTGGAGGGCAATGGCATGATCTTGGCTCACTGCAACATCCTCACTGTGATTCTCCTGCCTCACCCTCCTGAGTAGCTGGAATTACAGACAGGTGCCCAACATCATGCCTGGCTAATTTTTGTATTTTTAGACAGGGTTTCACCACGTTGCCCAGGCTGGTCTCAATCTCCTGACCTCGTGATCCACCTGCCTTGGCCTCCCAAAGTGTTGGGATTACAAGCATGAGGCACTACGCCCAGCCTCTAAAGGACTTTTATAAATGCTCTTCTTTGGTCCTAGGGAAATTCAGTCCCCCCTGGCCTGAATGAATGTCTTCCTTTCTATGAACTGGCAACTACATTGTCTCAGTTGTCTTCAATGGAGAGAATGTTACAACGCCAGCCCTGCCAGACCAGAAGGCCAGTATCCCAGGCTGTGCATCTTCCCTACCAAAAGGACTTAAAAGTACCAATGGACCATCGAAGATTAAGGTCAGGTCTGAGACTCTATGATTCTAAGTAAGGCAGGGAGAGAATCCAAGGACACAGGAATTTCACTGCCTTTGTCAAATAACCAGAGATGAGCTCCGTGTCCCCAACATAAGAAATGAAGGAGCCCAGCACCTTGGCCACAACAGGTGCCGATTACCTGAGCTCACTCTCGCCTCCAATCCACTCGGGCATCTTGAGTTTGGAGTCGAGGTTGTAGTAGGCTCCTCCCACCTCTCGGACACAGATCCAGTGCTGCCTTTTGAGGGGCAGCTTCAGTGGACCCCAGCATAGGCTGGAGGGCAGATTCATGATGAAGCCCATGACGTTAGTGAGGGCAATGACGCCAACATCCCTGCAGAGGAGAGAAATGGGGATGGGCTCTGAGGCAGCCCACTTCCCAAGGTTCTCTGGTTGTAATACCACAACTGGCTACCTCCCCACTCATGCCACGAGCCCAAGTACTAAAAGCTTATACCACAACCGTGCTGTTCTCCACCAAGTTAAGCCTGATTCAGATTACCTGCGCTTGTCCCACCAAACAGCTTCATAGCCTTTGGTTTGAAGTGCTGCCATAATGACATTCACATCGTAGTTGCCATTTCCCAGCATGCTCTTCTTGTGAGGTGTCACCATGGTGTTTGGAGACAACCTACCAATGTGAAAAGAGGAGGGCTGAGACGTGCTGGGTGGGCTAAC